TGGTTGCAGTGGAACTCGATCCTAGGTCGGTCAGTTCCACTGAATCCAGAGCTGCTAGGTGAGGCACACGGCTAGTTCGCTCGGTCACGCTTCTGACTTCCGAAGATAGATCAAATCGAGCTCTGTCGGCCGCCATCCCATCCCTGCTGACCGAGTCAGTAGGGCTAAAGATGCTGGAAGACGCGGCTGGTCGAACGCGGCTGGCCACCGACATACCGCGTCTTGCTCTCCGAGCTGAGCTTGCATCACTGAGAGCGTCATCGGAGACACTCGAGTCGCCTGGTGAGGTGGAAGTGACCCCGGCACCGAAGAGGTCGCGAGCGCGCTCCCAAGTCGAGCTCAAGCGCGACAGCATTGCCGCAAACTCGCCCGCGGCGTTGGCGTCGAATGCATCGCCTGTCCTGCTAGGGGATGGCGCTCCGCTCGAGGTGCTCAGGCTCGCAAGGGAATTGACTGGCCCAGAGCTGGCGCTTCCAGTCATGTCCGAAGATCCATCATCAAAGCTCGATAGAAGGTCCGCGTTGCGCTGCCGCTGGTCGGACAAGACTCCTTGACTTTCGGAGATCGCATCTTGTAGAGACGCGATCCGCTGAGAAAGAGACGTGACCCCATCACTACGTCTTTGCCTCATTGTTGCCGCCTCGCTTGGCGAGCCTCGAGGCTGCTCTGAGGACGCATGTGAAGAGGCATAAGCTCGAGCAGATGGAAGTGCATCGCTCGAGAGAGCCAGCATATCCACGTCGTCGGAGTCGTACGACGCGAAGCGACCTGATGAAAGTAGCGCATTGCGTCGCGATGCGGCTGAAGTTTGAAATCGCTGTCGAGCTGTCCCGACGGGGTCAAAAGCGCGAAGGAAGTTCGATCTGAATAGTTGCGAAGAGGCGCTAAGCGGGGGTGGATCAGAATCGATGCGAGGCGCAACAGCTGCCGCTTGACGGAGTGCCAGTCGACTGCGAGCGTCGAGCGAACGATTGTCATTGTCGCGTGGCGAGATACTCGTACTTGTGCCAAAGGCGAGGTCACGTTGACTGGAAGTGCTTGTGGACACGTTCGAGCCAGAAGGCGAAGTAAGATGAGGGTGACGCGAGGAAAGGGATAAAATTGACCCTTCCGAAGTGTCGGGCTCCGCGACGCTAGGTGACCCCAGAGCAAGAGAATCCTCGTACGACGCGTGAGATGAGCGCGTCGAGGCCAGAGGCACATCGTCCATCAATGAGTCGTAGTCGAACGTCGAAGTCGACTGGCTCACATTGGCTGAAGCCCGCTCTCCAATCATCGCCAAGAATTCCGATGAGCTGCTGCTGAGCAAGTCCAGACCATCCACATCCATGCTGTCTTCTTGGGAACGGCGGCGAGTCAGCCTGGCGATGCTACCTGAATGAGGATAGGTTGAGCCAGCAATAGCAGAGCTGGTGGCTCTGTCTGTGATAGCCTGGAGGGAGAGTATCGACGACGAAGAACGCATGCGTCTCGGCTCTCGATACGTGGACCAAAGCTCATTCCTTACGGGCAGAGGAGCCATAGCCGTATTGGATGGGGCCGAAACAACAGCAGGAGTCTCTTCTGACAAGCTGGAAGGAGGCCCTAAGGCAGGAGGAAACAGAGATTCGAAGATGTACGGTTCGCGACTTTCAGCCCTGACCGAATTGCGCGACGAAATGTCGTATCTTCTTGGAGCTGGCTGAGAGCGTGGACTGGATTCAGTGACCATGCTATCGCTTGCAGGAGGACTGGCGTTGCGTGCACGACGGCGCAGGCGCTTGTGAGCATTGCCTGATGGAGCGGCCAATGCCGAGCTTGAGGAAGAAGTCGTCGACCAAGAGGCGTCGACAGAGTCGTCAATTTCTTGCCGAGCACTGCTCCCTTGAGAACTTGGCCAGGATTGCAGGTAGTCGGAGGTCGCGCCGAGGGCACCGCTGCGCAAGGCAGGTGCATCAAAGGAAGCCCAATCCGGCGACGTTCCGACGCGGTCGATGTTGCGTTTGGCTCTGGTCGAGCTGCTTGAGGTCGTGCCAGCCAAAGGGACCAACGGAGCCGCGGGAGATGACACATTGCTGAGCTCTTCGACGTCCATGGGATCAGATCGTCCAGTCAGGACCCTCGATCTTGGCCTGAATGACGAAATCAGAGAATTAGGGTGCGGGCGAATGTTCCTGCTCGGCGCTGTGTCGAGCTGAGAGAAGATGTCTGCTCTATCCTGATCCAGCAAATTCGCATCTGAGAGCTCAGTGGGACTTCCTCCTACGGCAGCGAAAAGGAGGTGTCTGCGTCTAGGGCCTGCAACTCCCCTGCCGATACCACTCGAGGATCCAGTGAGGCTAGACGAGAGATCTACTGCCTGGTGACGCAAAGGCAAGTCGAGGTTGGCACGCGAGCTTGTCGAGCCTGAAAGCCATGTCTGTGTCAGATCTGGCGTGGCATGGGGATGCGAAAAGCGAGAAGCAGTCTGTAGGGGTCTAGGCGGCGAATCCTCGAAGGAGAAGTAGAGAGTGTCAGAGCCTGATGGTGAGGCCCCATCGCTATGCGAGCGGCTACCAGAGAGCGATCCAAGGTTTTGGCGCGGTGGCATATCGGCTCGTGGTGCTGGTGAGGACGCAAGCTCGTAGGGATGCT